AAAAAGACTCTGAAGGTTCAGTGTTATGAATAATTTTTATGTATACAAATTTAATCATCTATGTATGTATACTCAACTTCATTACGAAATGAATTAAGCGAAAAAAAGAAATTTACTGACTTGCATTTCATATTAAGACAAAAAATTGTATGCTGAAGAAGAGCGTTACAATGTAACAGGCATCGACTCGGCGCACTTTGCCCGTTTCTTTATCCAAAGGTTGATTTATGTTAGATGCCGGGTCAAAGAGCAGTCGAGTACTTTAGCATTAGACCGAGAAGTTGCGGATGCTGCAACCATCCTTGTGAACGCTGCTGCAACTGAGTGCAACCGTCGGAAACGCAAACGTCCTAGCGTCGTTGTTGTTTCAAATGATGAGTAACGAACGCGTTTGTAGTATCGTTCTTTTCTTAAAGAAGAAAACGTCGGAGAAGTCAATTTTATGGGCTAACGAGATCTTATTGATAAATACAGGCTAGTCTTTTAACTGTAATTTTGGCTATAAGAGGCGTCGTTTTCAGAGCAAGACTTTGACGCATAAATTAACTGTAATTGTATGTCATTTGGTTTTGAATACGACTACAGTATTAACGTAAGATCTCGCATTTTTCTTAAAATTGTGAATTCTTAGGAAGGATTATATGTTTTGAATATTTTATTGTATTCTTTCACAACGCGAATTTATTTAGTTTAAATTATATATTGGACATGTATATAGAAGCTATAAAGCAGACAAAAATTAAAATGAATAATATAATAAATAATGAATGATTCCTTAACAAGCAACATTATCAAATAAATTGATGAACTATTCCTATATAATAAATTATTCATATAATGAATTATTTCTTAATGATCACAATACATTATCGTATAAATATCTATAGAGAAGATAATATATACCGTAATATACCGCATGATTCCGTAAGACTTTTACGCGTTGGGAAGTTAATAATTTCTATTTGCACCTAATTAGGCGCGACGTCGGCAAGTTTCCGATGCACAGCGCATTGTGCGCATCGATGCGCAATTATTTAAGACTTCGCTCGATCCCGAAGCTCCCGCTCGTTACGCAAGCTCTTCGTGTTCCCCCGACGACGTATCGATTTCTGCCAGACGTGGAGAACCTGACCTACGAGTTTACGCGCGTACGAGCCGCCTGCAGCGCGAAATATCTCGCGTATAAATTGCTCGATCACCGATAGAGTCGAGCAGTACGGACATGAAAATACAAACGGCCATCGTCGGCAGGTATCAGTACCGAATAGTTTATTATCGTCATAAACCAGGCTATACTGACGTTCGCGAACAATTCGAGCGTGTATTTTGCCATGAGCACTGATGCACTTGTCCACGTGAGTTGCATCGTGAGAGAGAGAGAGAGAGAGAGAGAGAGAGAGAGAGAGAAATAGGATAGATAGATTTACCATTAAAAAAATCGTTATTTTCTTGCGAAGCGATATTTGCATTCGTAGAATAAAGAAACGTATCGATATCGTTAGGCATTATCATTGTGCACGCTAAAATTTTTCTACAATATTTCAAAACTATGTTCTACATGTACTTTACTAATTAATGTAATTGAGTAATGATTAAATTTAATTCATATTTAAAAAGTATTTAATAATTTATTTAATGTGCATTGGAAAAATACTTAAAAATTTATTTATTATGTTTATTTCACTAAAATAAATCCTTACTTTAAGACAAAATAAAATTATTCCTAATAAATAAATTATCTATTCTATTAAGTTTACACCTAATGATCCAACACCTAATATATATATATATATATATATACATATACAATTACTAGTTTACACTTAATGAGATATGTATATTCAAAAATATACAATATATTTCGTCATTATAGTCAAACTTTTACAAGCAATAATTATCAAAGAAACCGTCACATTTGCTTGTAAATTTTTCTTTTTCCTATTGTATAAGTGATTAAAAAATGATGATTTCAACATTTCTTAAAAAAGAAAAAGCCTCGTCTTATCGAAAAACATGTCATGTTGAATCACGTTGAATCATGTCCAATCATAACATATATTCTATGTATTTTCATGTTCGCATCTTATGCACAATGATGCATCATTATAATTCCATCGCATCGTCAGTTTCGTTGCTGGTTTTTCATGATATCGACGCTTTGAAAGTTCCAAGTCGGTTTTCCGGGTAGCTGGGTTGGTGGTTGAAGAGCCAATTCAAGGGAGGATATTATGTAGCCTTAGGGGGATGCTAGGTGGTGACGTCCCGTTGAAGTTCCCGGAAGCGAAGAGCAGAACACAGGAAGGTGGCTCGCAGCTCACTGAGGAACACGAAGGAGAAGAGGTGCGAGGATATTGCATTCTGCTTGGTAACTTCTGCAGCGTCCTATCTCTGTTTCTCGCTTTCGAACACGTTTTTCCCTTTCTCTTTCTCACTCACACTGTCTATCTCTTATGCTCCCTGTGATCTTCCGTCAGCATTCTGCTCTACGAGGAACTTAGCAAAGGGTCTAGCAGATTTACATGCACGTGCTCGGATCTATGTGGCTGGATAGTGTTTACGCTTGAATAAAGTTCCTTTCCCTCCCTCTCTTTGCTACGCGCTCTAAAATGCTAATGCAGTTGCAGGATGATTTCTGATGAATAGCAATAATAACCATGAACGCGATTACTACATAGAGAACAAAGGGGATGAGAATAAATGATGTGATCATATCTTACAAGGTAAAACTTAGCAAAGTCACATCGTTTGTTATAATGTGTTTACGTACTTCAATGACATAATACAAATAAATATAGCGCAAATTATACTAACTGATGAGATTTTTTACAATGTCAACAAAAAACTGAGAAGTCTGACCACAACTGGTCAGACAACTGGTCTGACTATGAGCAGTTTCTTGTGGCAAAAACTTCTCAGTTTTCTGTTCTCATTTGTAATTCATATGTAAAATATTTTAATCTTCTTTTCTTCTTGATTCTAAATGCTTCTCTTCAATTTTTTTACATTATTCAACAATTATATTGCATTTTATTATAAAAAAATAAAACTTTCATACATCTTCAATGTAATACTTTTAAATTATGATTAGTTAGTAATTTTTAAACTTGCCTATAGAATATGATAACAATATTCTAGTATTCAAGTATTGCAAGATATCATCAATTTACCTACATAAAAAGATATTTTTAGGATGAAATGTAACAGTAATTAATATCTTATTAGATCTTACATAACTTTTCATCTTTCATCTCATTCCACAGATTTAAACAGATCTATATTTACGCTTACATGTAATAAGTTATGAATTTGTATTGGTGTCCGTGTTTATGGGCAGCATAAGCCAGGCTTGATTATCTGTCATCCGCTTATATTAAATGTGAGCAAGATAGTTTCGTGAATATGTAGTTTCGTATACTGCAAATTTCATATAATCCTTAATTTTAAATATCTTCTATTCTACGTTCTTTGCATGATTATCCACATATAACGCTAATTATTTGAATCACTAATTAATCGGATTATAAGATTTCACGATTTACACAACATCTTGTGAATTTTAGTCTTCAAATTTTTCTTTAATTTACATTATTCGTGGAAAAAAAAAATCTCCTTGCCATAGCTAATCTTGGTTTGTTAAAATATATTTACTGCTGTAACTATAAATTTATAACTACGGCGAAATGATTTGCTGTTGCTGCTATAATATAGGTATCACAGCTAAGACATTAGATATGATACTTATATTTTAGCTATCCATATTTTACATCTATCATTTAGTTACACGCAGTTTTTAATTACGTCAGCTACTAATTTTCTTTTTTCTATATTATATACCTTTTAAATATAATATAATATTCCGAAAATACTGATAATTTATAATTATTTTTATAGTTTTAAAAGATTCCATTTCTTACTATATATTAAAAGATTTTTTGTTATAAAAAATTTTTCTTTTCATAAAATCAAAATTTCAATTATGCAATTTATATTAACATTTCATCGTACATTGTATTCTGTTCTGCACATTATATTAATCAATTTATCAATCTTATAACTACTCATGCTCCCCATTATATCGTGATGCAAATTTCTAGACTGCCATGATTCCAAGCGTAATATCGCATCGCATTCTAGCGTAGAGCATTTGCATTTTCAAATTTTCGAGGGGCGCGCGCTGATTCCTATCTTGTTCATCGTCGTTGCTCATTGTCTTGATCGACATTGCAACTTGGATTTCACAAGACCGACCCATCTACTTGCAAATCTCAAAAAGCTTTATTATTCATTCTATATAATTCCTCATCGAGCGTACTTCGACAACGTTGGCTTTCGTCTCGCAATCTTCTTACGGTTGCTTTATTGTTACCGAGCCAACTGGATATAAACATTTTCGGATTTCATGCATACGTTTATACTCTGAAAAAAAAATTCTGATTGAAAATGGACGAATCAGAATTTTTTGATTAAATTTATTAGAATTCTACAATAGTTGAGATAATCGGAATTCTGATCGATACAATATATTAGGTGTTGGAATTAATTCGTAGCGTTTTACAAGTGATGGGAAGTACTTTCATTAATGTATTTTTTAATGCTCATGTGAAATAAATAACATTCTTTCATTAAAAACGCTACGAATTAATTCCAACACCTAATATATTTCTGGTAAAATCTACTAGAATTACTATTATTTTTTACTTTTACCAAAATAATATCAATCAGAATTCTAATTATCTCGACTAGAATTCTAATAGATTTAACCAGAAAACTCTAATTTATCCATTTTTCATCATAATTACTATTTAGTCGAATCGGACCATTTTTCTCAGTACATAATTCTAAGATTGGCTGTCACTTTTGTATTTCTTTTGATTTCGCAGATAATGATTTGATCTGCATTAACATTATATATTCCATGACATTAAGAATTTTTCATTGCATGCACAAATGATTCATAATGTTATAGATTCTTTTTTTGTAATATTATGTTATATATTATAATAATTTATGTAATATGGCAAAGTTGCATGTTCGTAATTTCTAAACAGATAAAGAAACAGCGTCAAACAAGATGTTGTAAATCGTGATTCTCAACAATGTTTGATGTTTCAATAAAATTGGAAAAATGCTTTCGAAAAAAAGCTCTATCATTGACTTTCTAAAAAAAAAAAACCAAAAAGGAAATGCCACATCAATTCGCGTGTCGAGCGAACATCGTACAGTGGTATTTCTGCCTTGTTCCTTTGGTCTTTTCAAGACTACTGAGGCCCTAAGTTCCTGAATAAAGTTTCGTATCCTGCGGAACGCCTTTATATCCGTCTTATGTAGTCGCTTGGTAGTCGATACGACAGTCGAGATTCCTCGCGACGCGAAGAGCAGCAGCAGCATGATAAGAAACAGACGGAATAAAGAGGGATAAAAAGTATCGAAAGAAGATAGAGGAGATCTCGTGGAATGTCGAGCTGGATGTTCGTCGCTCTACCTCCTTCCTCCCCCTCTCTATTTCGTTCCTCTTTTCCGTCTCCTTACTGATCCTGTGGTTTTCCGATCTTTTTGTATCCTCTATCCTCTCTTTGAATAGAGAGAAGGAAAGAGAAAAAACTGGAGAGGGAAGGAGGGGAGATGAAGAGAAGAAACGATGGAATGAACGACATAGAAAAGAGCGAGATAGTGGAAGAGAGAATAGCTCTTGAAACCAGTTCGATCTATAACAGACCCTTTGCATCGGATGTACGAAAAACGAATACGCTCTAGCTAGTCCATCGGCCATGAGTTATAGACGAATCGAGCTGCGAGATTCGAAACAACTGGCTAGCTTTATTGAGGCACGTACTACATCAACTAACCCACAGAATTGACCGAATCTTGCACAGAGGAGTAAGTTAACGCATTGCGAATCGATTGTTAATAATGTAATAGAGTCGATTCTATTTTTTCTATACGTATGTATCTTGCTTTAATGCGATTCTAATTCGATTATATAATTCAAAGTTAAATCTTTCAAAATAATAAATGATAAATTATTTAATTGTGTTAACAAAAATTTAATTTTTTTTGCTATGTTACGAGTAATTATACTTAAGACACACTTTTCTCATAAAAATAATGGTTTTAATTTTTATTATCGATTATGTATATGATTATTTTATATTATACATTAACGAAAATTAATACATCAATATATCATTGTGAAAAAGAACTATACCTAGTCCCATGACTTTATCATAATTTTGAAAATTTAATATTTATATTTATATAATTAATTAAATATATATAATTAATATTAATTACATAATTAATTTAAAATTAGAGTTTTATTAAAGCAAGATATATATATGTAAATATAATTCATTTTTACTTCATTACTTTTTTAATGTCATCAAACTGAGAAGTAAACCAATTATGTCAAAACTGATTTGCTTCTTTTCATTTTCAAAAGAATCTGATAAATAATATTTAGAAATATACAAATATAATTAAGAATATGACAAAATATGAAATATACAAATATTAATTTTACTTAATACGATATATTTTTAAAATATAATATCGAACGGATTTGATAATATTTAAGTATGTTTATATATCATTATGGTTATGCGACAGTGATTAACATTTTAAACTTGCGGCTCACACGTTAAGATATATTTTTGAACTTGCTATTCATGAAAAAGTCGAATTGAACTAGAAAGATACCGAAATTCGTTTACGTTTGCAAAATAGCAAATTTGGATGCAGTTATGTGATCGATTTTCTGTGATGCATACATAAGTTTCTGATGAAGGACGGAAATTTTTCGCTGTCAGGGAACCATCCAGTTGCTGAAGTTGCAAGCGTTCTTTCCGAACTCTCGCGCAACTTTCGTGAAAATTGGCTCCTGTCGTGGACCATGTTATCTACTCTCTTCAGGTTTGTCTTGAGACTCTAAGAAATATTACTGTTATAATTATTAATAGAGAATTTTGACCTCACAAGGAATTTTGACCTAACATAAATTAATTTTTTGTAATCTTGAATATTAAGTATATTTGCATTAGAAATCGATCAAAGTCCCAAATACAGTAGATATAAATAGTTTTTAAATAGTTGATAAATAGTTTTTAAATAGTTGAAAAATAAATAATTATAATTTATGTAAACTATAATTTTTAATACATTGCTAAGATGAAAATAACGATGCAATATTTAATGATTATTTTTATTTATTACATTTTTTTATACGTTACTTAACATTTTTTTAAATATTACGTACTGCAATTTGATTTTTAATCCTCTCGTAAATCCGACTTATAAAGCACTGGCGGCTTAAAGTGGTCGTAAATGCTTTAAGAATAGATACTAAAAGCCATTCAAACGTAAATATCTATTAAGATACGTATCGCGTAAAAGCATTATTTAACAATACTTAATTGTAGGCGTTACAATTTTTGTTAATATAGTTTTTACATTTATCGTTCAAATAATTTACTTGAACGCATATAACTTATTATATATAATTTAACTATAATTATATATAATAAATATTTTCTTCTACTAATTGACTTAGATCAAAATCGTTATTAGTTTAATGTATACAAAAGAACTATAAGTATATGCAGAAAAGCATGACAAGATAAAGCACAATGCAAACAAAGAAATAAAATATAAGAATTCTTATCGCATAATGATATCGTCAATATACAATCTTTAATAATGTAAAAAGAAAATGCAGGATCATTTTCTGTAAAAAATATCACAAGCAGGCTTGATATCAGAAAGATATTTGAGGGCAAATTCGCTTTTCTCATTTTGACCGGGACACACGAAAGGGCGCACTTATGGTGAACGGTAAAAATCTTTTTACACGCGCGACACACCGGCCAATTTGCTCGAAAAAGTTGGGAACAGCTCGCAAGTTTCGCCAGAATCCGTTTTCCGATTTCTCGTATGTAACCTAAAGAAAAGTTTCTTTCTAACGAAAAAACGGTATCCATTTTGCAAGTTCGAGATTACATGCGTTGTCAGGGTGTCCCATGGCTAGAAAGTTGGCTTTCATTTACGAATTTTCTTTGATCAATATTAAATTGATTCTGTCCCACGATGTTTGCATTCGATACGTATACGTTTCTGACGAGGGAAAAACTCGTTATGAATTTTCTATTGGTATCGCTTTGCGTCACGAGCAATATTTGCACGTTTCACTGACTAACATCGAGTGGACATTGCATATTCTTGACCGGTGACATACGCGCACATACGACTGCTTGCTTTTCGCGCATAAAATGCTAATCCAATCTGTCGAATGTACTTCCGCGCAATTTACTGCCTTCCGTTCCATTTCTCTGAACGGTAGTGTCTACCATCCGTTCATTTAAAATCCGGTCTATTCCGCTCATGAAAAAATCATTCTTCCCCTTTAGAGTTTTTTTTTATTTAGAGAAAGGAAGTATCATCTTAAAATAATGTTGTCGATTGATATAAATGTATTGGTAATGGTGATATGACAAGAGAAAAATATGAAATGAAAGAAATATGATGTATTTTAAATCAACGTAAAATAAAAAATTATCTAATATAAAAAAATAATTAAATATAAACTAGATAAATCTGTATATCTAAAAAAAAATAATTAGAATGATTAAAAACAATTAGAAATAGTGTTATAGATATTTTTTAGTGCGATTAGAAATAGCAACCTTCAACAAAATCGATCTATTTTTTTATAATTGCATTTATGAAGACTTCAATTATCATCTTGTAAATTATGAAATTATTTAGCCAATTTAACTAATACCATGTTTTCCACATAATTAATGCGGGATCTATTACTTAGATTATTAAAAAATGTGCGATTTTACAATTCTACATATCTTTATCGCGTATAATACTGTTCGATAGCTGTAGATTTAATTATGATAAACACTTTTTAATTTAATCTGCACTGCACTTAAATGACGAGACGACGAGCTTTTCACAAGACTGATTCTCTTGATCGTCGAATTGGAAAGGAGCCGGGGTCGCCTTAATTGCCGCGTTTTCACCTCCGGAAAGGGCGAGGATTCTTTCGGGATCATCTCATGACGAGACGACTCTTTAGACTTTAGAGGACAGGCGGACGCGTTAATAATCTCGTTAACGTTCTGGGCGACGAACTCGCCACTTTCGAAAGCCACTTACAGTCAGCTCTCTCTCTCTCTCTCTCTCTCTCTCTCTCTCTTTCTCATGTGCTCAAATGTGCCGACAACGAACCTATATCGAGATTAATATACGATTAATCGCTTGTTTGTCGACAATGATCACTATTGAGGATAAACGTGCAAGAAACGTGATAGTTGCTTTGATTTGCCAAATTAAGAGTAAACGCGATAACGGAGAATCTTTAAAATGTTTTGTATAATAATTGTATGTCATATCTTTTTATATTGTGTATTTTATAGATTAAATACAAGAAAAACGTGAATGATATTCATAATTCATATAAAATAAAAATAAAAAATGAATGTATCTCTGAAAAGATAGCATACTTCTTTTTTGTTATGTATTACAATGCAAATCGATTCATTTCTGTGATTAATTTAGTTTTAAAGTAAATATTAACGTATGCACTTACAGTAATAAATAATAAACCAAATTTTAGCTAAATTTATTTTTACATTTTCTTGAGTTTTTATTTAACTTGTTTTAGTTAAATTAACGATATATTAAATATAATAGAAGCATCCGTAATGATCTATAAAAATGATAAAAAATAAATATAATTTGACATTCATATCAATTTAATAATGCATAAAGCTTCATTCTTCTCGAGGATTATTATTGAAGAAGAATCAGACAATTCATGATTTTTTATTTTTATTTTCTTTTGAATTTTTAAATATTATCTACGAAATGTATCTATACGTTATACATAACTATTTAAATTATTTCAGAACGAGATTGGAATGCTTACAAGTTACACCGAAAGATTGGAGTAGTTGCGACAGATACGTTTGTCGTGCCAATTTAGTGAGTCGGTTTCCTCGCCACGGAACTCAACTACTTGTCGGTGTATTACACGAGCATACAGCTGCAACGAGCAGCAAACAAAGTACTCGCTGCAGTAATCCTGACCCACATAGCACTCGAAGCGGCCCTTTAAGGGAAAATGCAAACAACGCGAAGCAGCGGTCTTTGGTCTGCCGTACAAGTCTGGTCTTAAGTGGTCATAAAATCATGAAAAAACTATTGCGTGATATCTCAAGTTCCTCAAAGTATAGCTCGTGCAAACTTTTCTGTAAAGAAGTTCCCTTGTAACTTTCCAAAGATAGTCCTTGCAATTAGACGATAAAGAAGTGCATAAAAAAATTAAAACACACACACACACACACACACACATTATATAACATAAACAGAGTTATATAACATAAACAGAGTTTCAGCTCCTATATTTTCAATTTTGATTTTTAGTATATAAAATGCGGAATTCTTTTCTACTTTTACAAGGAAATATAGAGCTATAAAAAGTGTTACTGTTATTATTTTTTTAATATTAATAGAATGTTGTGCTAACTTCATGGATTTTATATTCTTCGATAATGTATAGTCTTTAAATAAAACTGTCGTTACATATGTGAAATGATTTTCTACAAGTTCATTCAAATCAATGCATGTAGTATTGTCGATACAACAGAAAATATTATATTGCCTTGTATCTTCTGTTCGATCTTAACTCAAGCAGTATTCAAAGTTTCCTTGTAAGAAATTTTATTTTCTAACATATAGAAGCCTTACTTTTTGCGCTCATATCATTCACGATAGCAATCTACAATACATATTTATGAAACCTGCGAAATGACAAAAATGACTTTTTTATCTTACTGCGGAATATTTGGTGAAATAAAATACCTAATGTTGAAGAATCAATAGTTATATTTCAGTCAGAATAAAATATTTCTTTCGTGTACTTAAATGTAATAAAATTTATAATAAATTTAAAAATATTAAAATTTATATATAATAGATAAAGAATGTTTTTTAGTAATTAATAAAAAATGTTATACAATAATAATACTTGATCAAAGAGAACATTAAATAGAAATATTATACATTAAATAATAAAATATTATTTCAAAATGTAATAAAAAATACATTTATTATCACATTTATAAAAATATTTAAGCTATACTGAATCACATGTGAAGTGCAATTTAATCATGCGAACATCTGTTGAGTAGTTTCATGATTATGCGTTTTTTTACGAAAACTTGCATGGAAAAATCTATACAATCAAGATTTCATAAGATAAAACCAGGGATAAAACTTGGTCCCTTAGCAAAATGAAACTTTCGAACAAAAGTTTAACATAACCGAGAAAGTACAATTCAAAAGCACAAGCCGAGAAGAAATAAACTAGGCAAAGACACTAGTTAAATATGTTAGTTTTGCTTTCTTTCGCAAAGTTTAATAAAATCTGCTAACGATATCTAAAAAATCGCTTAAAATAAATCTGGGAAGCCACAGAATTGTATTAAACTAAGAAACATTTTATGAGTTAATTACATATGAATTAATTTACAATATTTTTGGCAGTAAACATTTTGCGAAAGATCTCTCTCAATTTAATTTGAGAAGAATAAAGATATTGTTTTAAAAAAATTGATCAAAGAATTAAGGCTTATAATTGATATTGTAGATAATATGTTACATAGATAATCATCTCAGACATATTAAGTCAAATTTAAAACTATTTCGTACAATCAAACAGCTTGTACGTAGAAGCTTCTTTGACAATGAATTATGTATCAAGTATAATAGATCAGAGAAAGAAGTGATGATCATGAAAGGGCAGTTTAGGAAGGGCTAGCAATTTCCCAAAGTGGTGTTCGCCTCTTGAGTATTGTACAAGTGTGCGAGTGCACACCTCAGTGCACACTTGTCACAGACGTTTATTAGAAAGCGGATTTTATTCCGGAAGAATCATACGGAATAGTTAGATAAACTCATGAAATGTTTTAAAGCTATAAAAATCGCATTAATATAATCTCATTAATAAAATTGATGAAAGTAATTAAATTTGTTTGTAATTCTAAATTATATATAAGTTTGTTTAATCATCGAGCGGAAAATAACCGTCTAGATTTTAAAATTCACATTTTGATTAATAGTGAAAGATACTTGTAAACGCTATGTATAAAGGGAACTCGGGTAATTTCATATTAATCATACATCGTATGTATCTAAAATATATAGCTCCAGTCTCCATTTCTCTTATATACTTTTTTGTTCTATAATATTTCTTCCATGTAGATTGAATCTCATGAATCCTGTTTCAGCCTGATTTAAATTCTACATTTTTATGTTATTCCTTGCAATGTCGTATGCATACAACTTCGTTTCGCAAAATCCTTTCGTGAAATCTTCGATCTCATTCCTATTTTCGTAAGCCAGAGTACAAGAACAATTAAAGAACGTCGCGCCTTATCTCGTAGCGGCACATACAGCAGGTTAATTAGTATTTATCGTGAGTTCGCTCGCGAAGATCGACCAGTAGTAATAGCGAGTGTGGAAGAGTTGGATATCTCCCCCGAGTGAAATTGGGGGTAAATTTTATCGCTCAAGTTTCTGGTCGCGAAGTTCACTTCCACCTATAACATTCTATCGCAGCGTATTTTTTTTACGAGACTGTCCCGTTTTTTAGCGAAACTCGAACGGAATCGGATAGTGAATCGTGGAAAAAGTTCCGCGACCTATTAAAAAAATAGAGACATAAAAAAGATTTCTACGTGATTTTCCATAGAACTTTACATAACGTTTAATTTTAATTACGTATGGTTTCTCTTTAAATGACTTTGACTCTTGAGGTTTTTTAAAATATTTTGCAAATTAAAAACAAATACGCGTTACAAAGAACCTTGATTGAATCGCGTCGTTAGAGAATTTTGAAAAAGATCGTCAAAAAATTAAAGCCTTCGGGCATATCTAAAAAAACTGCGCTGCACAGAAGAAAAGAGAGATTGAGGGATATATATATATATAAAATATTCAAAGCGTGTGATACTGCACAGTCTTATGAAGAAAACTTGCTTTGTATTTGTAGAAACTGGAAAGTTGTTTTTAGTCAATAAAGATGGTGAATAGACAGATGTTTATTATAACTTGTGCTTTTTTTTAGTAACTTTATAATATGATATCAGAATCCGTTATTTATAACGATGGCAGTCTTTGTTTAGAAATTCTGTTTTTTACAAATCAGATGAGTTTTCTTTGTAATATGTATTTTTTAATTTGCAAAATATTCGAAACTTAAAAGTTATTTTTTTATCTTTACATTATTTTAAAATCTAATTTTTTAATATATTACTAGCATTTTCATGTTAAAAAATCTAAAGATAGTATTTATATGAATTCATAAATTAAAAAGAAATTGCTTAAGCAATTTCTTTTTAATTCGTGCAAGAAGATTATATTATATCGATTTTATCTCGGCATAATTCTGTATAAAGAATTAAATATAAATCTTAATTATATAAAGTCACAAAAATATTTTATACATTTCATAAATATAAATGAAGTGTCTCGTCTCATAAAACTTGAAGAACTTGGAAATATACCTGCGTCTACTCTGGTAATATCTGCATTCCTCAACTCAAAGAAAATTTTGCAGTGTAACGTCTCCTTGTTTCATTCAAAAATTTAATTTCTGTATTCCTACACGATTTCGCGCTGCAAGAAATTGCACAGAACTGAAAGAGAGGACACGACTACGATTGTTCGTTGCAAAAGCTAGACGCGTCGCTTCCCTGATGAAGCTAAAGTGATTCTTCCCAGAACAAATGTTGCACGCTACTCGAGGACTCTGTCTGTATCCCTCGAAGGAATCACTGACGTAACTAACAACTTCTCTGAGAAACTCATTTCTTAAATTTTATCTTAAACTTTATTTTAAACTATATAGAAACTTTATTTTAAACTATATAGATTTCAATTCTTTTTGCTTTTTGATAATAACTTTTATGATATCTAATGATATTACGAGTATTAATATATGTCAAGATAAAATATCAAACTTACACATTAAAAAAAAAATAATTTACACAAAGCAACATTAATATTAATAAAATTTTATATGGACTTTAATAATAAAGAAATTTGCAAATCTATAGCTATAAAGAAACATTTTGCAAATCTATAGTTAAAATTTAAATTTAATTCTTTATGTAGAGTTCTGCCGAGATAAAATCTATATGATATGATTTTCTTGCTTGAATTAAAAAGATATGTTATAAGCAATAGTAATCTATAAATCCATGGAATAAATCTTTTATCTTTCTACAGTTTTCTCTTTGCATTTGTTACATATATGTAGATCTTTTGGAAGGAAAACTTCATCTTAAAAATAATAATATATTCCGTAAATATGATTTATGTCATAGTATCTATGTCTTTATCAATCTTCGTCAAATATAAATTACTTTTTCTCCTACAATGTTGACGGAATTTCAATACCATAAACTTGATATTCTTTCCGACTCATCTTTCTTGTATATATCCCATTTTCTGATCTTGAGTGCTCTCTAATATTGAAAGGAAAAGCCTTTCAGCGATAACAAAATCTGAGGTGACTTTATTTATGTCACTCGAGAATATTTTGTTGAAAAAATAATCGGTCGGTAAAAAGGTTAACATTTCGAGAGCGGTTTCTTCGCAATACGAATTCAGACGCTCGAGACAAGCTGTCCATCCTGGGTAATGATAACCATCCCCCGCGTCCTCATGTCCATTCTATCCTCGCCCCAGGGTATTTTAAGAGTCCTTTAATCTTCGAACTCGATGAAATATCTGCGACGGTGTTTAGAAGGTCGTTCGGTATATCCTTCACGCCGCCAAGACAAGTGAGTTAGCTTAAGCTTAACAGCTCACGACCCTCTTTCATCCCCTCCGGCCCACTCTCGTGCATTTCCTCGTTTTGCGGAAACGAGAGGGGATGCGACTACTGCAAACAATGGCTGACTATTAATCTTCATATTCCGTCATAAAGCACGAAATAAAAACATTGAATGGATGAGATTAATAAGTGCTCACATTTCTTTTTTATTTCTTTCAAAAACGAGATGATCACTGAATCATAAGTTTACATTTCTATCATATGTCTAACGTCAATATGATTATGTGATAAAGATTCAGCGACATAATATGTATTTAAAATATATTATCTGAAAATCTCTACGAGAAGGATTTAAAATTAAAAGAGCAAAGATTTAAATAAGAATTCACTGTGCTTGTTCCATTAAAAATATTCTCGTCTTTCTTACTATGTGGTAAATTACGAACAAATAGAAACAAGATTTCTAATATAAATAAACGTATGATTGGTCGCATTGTAAATAAGGTTTCTATTT